TTTCAGTTAGATGGTTCACCAGTTCACAATAGTGGCATAACAATGGTTTGATTGAATAGAAATCTACCTATGAAATGGATAGGACCCGATAGCCCTCTCGTAGTATGGCCACCACGATCCCCATATTTAACTCCACTGGATTTTTATTTATGGGGAAACTTGAAAAATAACGTTTATAAGAATAGGTCAACAAATAAGGAAGATCTCCGTGCAAGAATTATACAAGCGTGTAGAGAAATCACACCTAGAGAACTGAGAAGAGATGGAGGAAATAATAGAAGGCGCATAGAAAAATGTGTTCGATTGGAAGGAAATTTCATGGAAGGCACGAAAATATAAAATTGTCAACAGTTAAATCGTTTGAAATTGATTGTTTTGTTTTTTAATTGAAAATGTGATTTTGAAAGTAGTACTTCGAAAGAATTTTGAACTACATAACAATTTTCGCCACAAAATATCCTTGTTTTTTTTTAAATAATGGGAAAATTTATTGTTTTGTTTTATATTTTGCCCTCTAATATGTTTTACCGTGAAAATGGGGTGTTCCATCGCGAGTGGCGGACAGTGTATATCACTTTGGCCAACCCCATTCAGGTGGTAGGTGCATTTTCAGCATTTCCATCAGTCCTGAGAGTTTCATCGTTCTACCTCGAATATTACGGAAGATACGGGGGTGTTTCCATGAGAAGTGAGACACACTGTATATACCTACAAAACATAATTTCACTACAGAAAAAAGCTATATACATTTATTTTAAATTGTGGTCTTATATAATATGAAAGTAAAAAGAATACCAGAGGATTTAGGTTTGAAATCAATGTGAGACAAGGGATTTTTTTTTGGAGCCGGTTTCCCTTCTGCAGTCCACTGTTTGGACTGTATTTTTGTTTCGGGCGTACAATGATGTATCCAAATTTCATCTACAGTAATTATTCGGTGCCAAAACTCGGATTTATTGGGCCTGAACTGCGTCAACAGAGCGTTGGAAATGTTTATTCGAACACGTTTTCGTTCTAACGTGAGCAACCGCGGCACCCATTGCGCGGACAGCTTTCTCATGCTTAAATGTTGATTCAATATGTGACAAACGCGTTCTTCCGGCATGTTCATAACCTCTGCTATCTGACTCACTTTAGTTCGGCGGTCGTCTAGCACAATTTGGCGGTGTTTTCGTCGGTAGTTGCAGTTTTTGGACTTCCGAACTTTCATAGTTCCCAAGCTCTTACGGACACGTTTAAATTCAGCTGCTCAAAATTTCACTGTGGTAAATGATGGTGCAGAGTCCCCATACATGGAATCCAACTCATCTTTGATTTTCGTAGGCGGATTGCCTCTCAAAAACAAATATTTAATGACAGCACGATCCTCGATTTTGTCCATTTTCATAAAAACACTCGCATCAACTCACGCAAACGACTGTTACATAACAACTGCGCATCCAAGTAGGATCAACAGATGAATAACGAAATTCGCTAGCTTTCATTTGCGAGTGCTGTCTTCTTCATGTTGAGGTGGGAAACTTTTTAGACCACCCTGGTATACAGGGTTTTTTAACGTGTTTGTGGACAGAACAAGTGGATTGAGCTACGTTAGAAACGGGACTTTGGCCCAGAGCTGCAGCGTTTGCTGAACGAGTCTGGAGTGATCCTGTCGGTTTTGAGTTCGACAGCTATGAAGTTTCGACAAGAATATCCGCCCAAAGAGATCGGCTGATATCGAGAGGATTTGAGATTGCCGCGATAAGGTCCTTGAGGTACACACAAAATCCAGGGCGGTGTTAGCTCTCAGATTTGAAATACGTTCGAGTTTTATGTTCAGGTTACTGATCAAGCTGTTGGTAGTCACTACGAGAACGAGAGAGATATTGCTATCTTGGAAACGGTAAGACCTGCAAGGTCTGTTAAATTTGACAAAAGCTAGCTATTTTGGGGAGCTAGAATGATCCCTTTTCGAGTCGAGAATATCATTGGTTGTTTTTGAAATATTCGCCAAAAACTAGAATTGTAGAATTTCTTGGCTCTACCGCCTCAATTTCGAATGATATAAAATAAGGCGGTGGAACTTTCAATACTGTTGCATAATTGTTGTAATCTGCTATAAACCAACTTGCAATGTGACGTTTCGTTCATTAGGTTTCATCATCAACTTAATATTCATTTCATTTGAAAATGAGATGCGTTAATGGGACAAATTGTTGACTAAATGAGCTTCTTAATTGAAGAAATAAGTCTATTGGATTATTCCTGGACTCAAGCAAAGCTTTCGACTTTGATAGATAAATTATAGATCATGCTATACTTTTGGAGAAATTAGAAAGGTTTGTCAGTGGTTCAGTTGTTAGTCGAGCGCTAGAAAACATTATGATGGAGTAAACAATTCCAATGCAAATGCTTTAGACATTTAAATTGGATTAATTCAGTGGTCCACTCTAAGGCCACTACCATATCTGAGATTTGTCAATGATTCTACTTGTCAAGAAGCAATTCTATTAGCCCTCTCGAAAATGTGGACATTGAAGCAATAACACATTTAGAAAATACCTTTTTTTCAAATGGCTGGTACAGAACAATGTGGTTCTAAAAATATAAAAAGCTAATTTCATTAGGTTTGTCATTTCCAGATATGAACATGAAAGGAATTTTACACTACTAGTTGGTGTGGATAATAATGCCAAATTTTTAGGTTTGCATTTGAGGACTGTAATGTACATTAACGAAATTTGTAGAAAAGTAGTTTTCATATGAGTTCAGAGTTTTCCAATAGAATTTTTCAAGGGGCTGATTTTGTGCAAAATCCGTAGAAGGGTATTTTTGAACGATAAGAATGTGAGGTAAAAAACAAGAAACCAGGAAGCTCCTTTTCATATCTACAAATTAATTAACCTTCAAATTGTATAACATTCCTTTCACTCAACTCATTTATCACCTTTATTTCTAGTTCATATTCTACGACAGTAACGTTTTAAAATTTTTGCGGGGACTTTTTAAAATCCAGCAGCAAGTAAAAATGTTTTATTGAAGCATTGGGAAATCATGAATGCATTACACATAAGTATTTGATTTCCATGGTTGCTCAAACGGATCTGAAACAACAAATAGGCAAAAGTAAAAGCATTGTCCTCAATTGAACAGGTCAAATCCGTTTATTAAAGTTTTGAATATACCTCGTCCTAGTTTCGTCAAAGTAGGTAGTTAATGGCATCTTTATATATCTTACCTGAAGCCTAGATATGAAATCCGGACTGAGCGTTCGTTCCGATTCATCTGGCACCGAAAGTGATACATCAAAAACGGATTGTTCAGGCAGTTTCTCTTGCGAGTGACACTTTTCACTTAATATCGCGGAAAATAACACTGAAATTCTGTCTAAATTTTCATTCAATAACTGTGTACACGATCGTTTTATTTTCACTGTACCGACAACTGATTTTGACATTTTTTCTAATTTCCATGCTTACATATTGATTTATCTCTTCTGAATTTGCTAAAAAGAAATAATAACATGTTTTTGGCAATAATTTTCAATATAACACAAAATATTTTGACATTTCTATGACAGCTACAATTCTGACATTTTGTAAAAGGTAGCGCCACTGCCTAGAACACAGAACTTCTATCTGAAATCCAGAAGTTTGGTTCTGTGACCTGGGATCAATGTCAATGTCACACATGCAACACCAGACAAAACATGCAACACAGAACATACCAAATTTCACTCTAATGTGGGTGTAATTGGCGAAATGTAACATATTTGAATAATCCGCCTTTTTTACTTTCCAATATCCGGCCAAGTTTTGGTTGAGTTCAGATTTGAAACCTCAAAAAAAGACGTTGAACAAATATTCACAAACCCTAGAATTTTTGTAATGTTACCTGGAGAAGAGCCAAAACAGCATTGAAAAATTGGGTTTTTTTTTCGATATCCTAACATGTATTTATGTATTCATGTTTCAACAATATTCCCAGTGTTGAAAATGTGAACTATTCCGACATAGTATTTGTAATGATTTTATCCACTCAACTCCATATGTTGAAACTTGTCAATTCTTTTCGCTTTTTGGATAGCACGATTAGGTTTTTGAAGATGAATTGATTTTCAACATATATGTATCATACCTTTTTATACTCAATATTTGTTTTTTTTTCAGAAAATTTGAGCAATGCAGTGCTTTTTAACTAAAAATTCAGTACATTTTTGATGGATGAATTGATTACCAAAAATCAGATCATCAGAAGAATATTCTATTCTTTGAATAGATGATAAAATTCAAACTTGAGTAATTTTCCACCCAATCTGGTGAGCTTTTATAACGGTTTGGACCACTTTGGAAAAAACCAACGGAACGCAAGTCGACATTACAATTGAATACGACTTGGCCATCTCAAGTAGACGTGGATGTTGTTGCCATTTCTTGCCAGAACAAGTTCACGTGGTGATTAGTGATCAAGGGACAGAAATGACAAGACAGGTAACCAGAAAATTAAAACATTGTTCAATTTTTCTCAGTAATAGTATTATAGTATTATAATAGTATTATACCATTCATTCAAAGTAGAACTCATGTGAATGATATCTGATTCTTATTCCTCCACGAATGTTCGATATACAAACTGAATAGAGAAAAGTATCTTCTGTATAATTCAGTGTTCATATAGAAGTATTTGTTTCGAAAGAATTTTTTCTTTCGTGTAATTCAATGTTTATATGAAAGTAACAATGCTCGTGCCAAGACAATTATTTGTGATATTAGATGTCAAGATTTGTTACTCCCCTGCTAAGAAAAACGACCTTGATTGAATGTGAAAAAATGTTATATTCATTGAAACATGAAAAATAGTGATATATACACGACAATATAGTATGACACTCAGGTGGATGTATATTTATGCCAATATTGGCAATCCAAGATTATCTTTCAATTCATGAAATGATTTCCTATGGAAATTTTTTCTATAGTACCCGAGTTTCTAGAATAATTTTAGAAAAAAATACTAACAAATAAAATTCAAATTTTTTTAATACCACAAAGTATATGTTTATCAATAGGTTCAATAATTGCCCCCATTTTCGTAGTAACAGCAGGCTCAATGAGTTTCCGGAATGCAGTTTCAGGTACGAAAGTATTCCCTATAGGTGCTCTGATGCTAGCCTCATAATCCTTCACTGACTTGAAGGGGAACGGGACTTCCGATACCAACAATGGCTTTATTTTAGACTGAGCCTTCTCATTTATAATTAATGAACCCTTATTATCATCTTTTCTAGGCATTGCTTTTGGAACCTTGAAAATGAACCTTTTCCTTTTTCGCTTGTTAGGATCAATGTTGCCTCCGGCCCAGCTGCCCCATCCGGGAAGGTTTAAATCGATATTCTTGGGAGTGTCCTTTTCTATTTCGGCTGCCTTCTCTTTTTGAAAATCTGCTGCAGTATCATCGTCCTCAAATACTTCCATCATGATAGCTTGTTGGTCAGTGGAGTCCTCATTTTCTTCTGTGACTGATAAATCAGGTATCTCAGTGGCAAGCTCTGTTACTTCTTTATGCTCGATACACTCGTTTGGCTTTTTGTTGGGGGTTGGTTCTTTTTTATCCTTGGATCCTAAAATATTCTTAAGGGTTTCTAAGTCGGGGTTCAGTTCAGAAGTTGCCTCATCGTCGATATTTCCTGTCTGCTCCATCATTGATTCATCGATAATAGGCCTTTTCGCTTTGGTAGGAAAACTGAGGTCTACTTTATATTTTTTGGAACTTGTCTGTTTCTCACTTTTCTGTTTCCTTTTAGTTGTATTTTTCTTTCCTTGTAGTGTTTTGGATTTTTGTTGCAATTTTCTTTCAAGCTTGTCTTCCAGTTGCTCAAATACATCTTCTACATCGCCATTTTTTCCCGAGGTTGCATCGAGGAGTGCGGTAACTTCCCACTCTGAGGTACTGAAAGAACTATTCATTCCACTTAGGTTGACTTCATCTACTGATTTCAGATTTGTTTTATCTAAGTCTGTCTTAGCTGATTTGACTTTGGGACTTCTACTTGACTTTTTGAGTTTATTCGGTGATTCAGATATAATCATCTTTTTGGAGGCCACGGGTTGATTTGCTTTAGCTTTATCTTCCAAGGAATTGTTGGCCGGCTCACTAGATTGGTTATTATGTTCATTCCAGAATTTTTTATAACCACTAAGAAAGTCAGTCACCTCNTATCATATAAATACAGTTATATACAGGTAAGCATAAATATTTTATTTTCATACTCACTTCCTTGTCATATTTGGCTCTAATTTGTTTGTTTTTTGCCCACTGTCCCGTTCCTTTATGCCTTAAATTGAATCTCTCCTCAGCCCTAGCCTTCTCAATGTCATCCAATTTTCTCAGAGCCTCTTCCGGATTTGTTTTCTGAAGTTGCTCAAACTCCTTCAATTGCTGTTTAATTTTTTCTCTCTTCAATATTCTGTGATACTTCTTGCTTTTGATTTTATTTTGCCTTCTAGCTTTGGCTTCTTTGTAACTTTGATGGGCCCTAAGTTTTGCCATTTCTTTTCTCCTTTGTTTCAATTCGTCTAATGTAAGGGGGTACTCTTCTTTTTCTTCTGTATCAATTCGAAATTCCTCTACTTTAGGATTGAGCTTCTCCAATTCTTTTTGGAGATCTGATTTGACACGCCACGATGACGGGTACCGCTCGGCCCTTTTCTCTTCAATTTTCACCTTTTCAACGCTTCCTAGAGGAAAAACAAGGTTAGACGCAGCACGATTGGAAGTTACTAGCGATTCCCATCTATCCAATTGTAATCTGGATTTTTCATAATTGAGAGTGCGCTTGATTAGGTTCGCTTGTGGTTTTTCTAAAGGGGTCGGTAGTGTTGTGCTTTTAGAGTTTGTCGATTTAACTTTGTTGGATATTTCGACATGCTTTTTCTGACCTTTGAGAAGTTTAGTCAAATCATTAATATGAACCAAGTTCCTATTTTCGCCAAGTGATTTTACCAAGTTGAACTCGGATATTTGTGAAGTAGGTTCAGTACGAGACGGTTTCTTAACATTTTGATTTTTGTTTAGATTCAGGACGTCTTCAACCAGCTTATCGTGCGTTTTATTGTCGATTTCCCAGTCAGAAAATTCGAAATTATCACTGTCATCACTCATCTTAGATTTTCAAATAAATACAAAACTAAATTGAAAATAACACTTGTAACCTCAAAGCCAAAATGTTTCTAAAATAAATAGTGAGGTTAAAATCTTCTCTTCTTCTTGTACTTCTTCGTATGGCTAGACATCTCGGATCATTTGTCCAGTTCCGACGATTTTTAGGACAACTTCAGGAAGATGTTCTGAAATATGACACAACAGAATTAGCAAATTTGTACTTCGGTTGATCAGCTCGATAACCGTTTTTTATTATGTATCACGGTTCAATATTCTGAGTAGAGATACTTCAATAGTTCTATAAAAGAATATCGTTTGCCGAAAAAGTGAATATACTTGTTTTGCCGACAATAGAAAACCTTAAATTGTTCAGTATTCTGGATAGGGATACTTCAACAGTCCTATAAAAAAGTCTAGTTCGTCGGAAAAAATATGTTGAGTGTGAATGTACTTGTTTTGTCGACAGTAAAAAAACCTTAAAAATGTTTTTGAAGCACATGTATTTTTACTAAAATGGCTACAGCTACATCGTCGTGTCGTATGTAAATAATAAAATAATACTCATACTGTCCATTTCTGGATTTTATTTGCTGCTTGAAAATGGGTTTTGTTGTGTTCATTTTATCGATTTTATTATTAATTTATTTTGTTTCAACCACATGAATTTTTTGAATTGGCTTTTTCATGTATTTATTATTAGTGTCAGTTGTCATACAAAGTCGACATTCAATTTGCCCATTTTTGAGTTTTTTTGTTGTTTAATTCTATTCGTTTTTTTCCAATATGTAGTTGTACATTGATATTTATAAAATATTTTTGAGTCATTAATGGAAATGATGTCTTTATAGATATCGGTTGCTACAATTCAGTTCATAGTCATTCATAACACGAAAGTTTTTTTTCTCATTTATCATGATGATCTGCTACTACATAGTAATGGCAACGTCAATCAATTTTTTCCTTTCTTTGAAAGATTTCCATTTTTTCTGTATAAAGATGGAGATGTAAACTGAAACAGTTTTTTCCCAAAAATGTATCTCTCTTAAAAATACAGCTAACTCTTCCAATTCAAATTTTAGGTTCTTTCAACAATATACCATAACTTTCAATAACATGCTCAACTGAAAGCTCAAACGAGTAAAACACTTCATGGGAAACAACAAAATTGTCATTTTTGAATGAAACTTCTGCCACCGTGAGTTAATTTGTCTCTACAGTCTATAGTAACAATAACAAGGTAAACTTATTCAAATTTAAAAGATTTAGCTGATCATCATTCTGCGAGTGTTCGGAAATAATAAGAAAATCACATTTATAATCATTGGCAAATATTGAATCGAATTGCAAAATTTTATTTCTTAAACATCTGCTAATTCGGTGATAGATAAAGATACTTTCTGTGTAGCCACTTAGTCTGTTATTTCTAAAAAAGAACATTGAAGTCTCACCTTCCTTATTCATCTTTTTTTGAAAAACAGAGCTGCTAACCTCAAGCTAAGATACATACGGTGACAGCTGGTTTCTGCAGACACATCTTCTATTTGTTGTTCAACATTTTTCAGATCACTATCTGATTTGCTACTATTTTCAAAATGCCTGATACGGTCCGAGAAGTGTTATATTGTGTTATTGTTTTGTTTGTATTAGAAATTGTACAGTAAAAAATAAGCGACCCTTACTTCGCATTCTTGGCATGTTTATATTCAATCTGAACAATAGATGGCAAGATTTTATTACCGCCGTAGCGGTAATTCAGTTTGAAACAGTCAAGTGTGCGGTAAGTACCTACTAAATATCATTTTTCATCTCAAATTTACGGACGCAATATGTTTGTTTTACCTTCCAGCGTTTATTGAGGAAGGAACTCAATAAAGCTATTTATAAACCTTACTGTTTGAAGGTTTTGAATTCAGATACAGTCAGTCTATATATTCGTTCATTCAAACGTAGATCGAATAAATCACTTCTTATCAAGGCGTAAACTAATTAATGCACTAACATTTTTTGAATTAATTAATAATTTCTGAGTGAACCTTTGATTGGAGTAATAGTGGAAACATGAAAAATGAGGCATGTGCTGAAAGTGATTCTAGTTCGGACGATTCTTCAGATACAGAATCTTCAGGAGATGAAGGAGATTTTTCTCAAAATCGCCAAAAACGTGCTATTGAATGGTAAGTGTAATTTGATCCTTTTGAAATTATTTAACAGAAAATTTGTGCTTAGAAAAGTTGCTTCTTAAATCATTTCTGTTAAATATTTACTATCATTTATTGTTCTAGCAGTGACTGCGTAGGGAACGTAGCGGAAATTATCAAGCTACTAGTATATGTAATGACATTGAGAGGGGTACTCGTGACTAACCATGAATGAATCACTGCAAATGTACTGAGCCATCCCTTTTTTTGTTAGAACATAGTTTACATTTGAACAGTTTCCGTGAGGAGGTATTCAAGTGTGAACATTTCCAAGGCTTTTGTAAAAGTAATTTCACAATGTGCACTTCATGAGATGAACGATAAACCCGAGACTTTAACGATAAAGATATATCGGTGTCAATGCTTTCACGATATCGAAAAAGCATTCGTCCATGCAATATCAGAATTCAGCAGAAAATGGCATAGAATCGAGCATATTTTGCTGGATCTATGTCAAGCTCGTACGTAGCAACTACTCTTCAAGAAGAGCCCTTTGGATTCATGGTCACCCGGGTTAATCTGCTGTATGATCTTAATGTCCTCGACAAAAGAGAAACAGACCTACAAACTCATGCAGATAATCATGCCATTCTGTCAAATACCACTTTGGGAAGGCAAGCATGTGATGTTCATGAAAGAACGCTGGAAGATGTTCATAGTTGATGCCAGAGGGAGTATATGTCTCTAAATCACAGCAAAACTGTGTTACTCCCCTCTACCTGGAAGAGGAATCTGAATGATTCAACTCCATAATATTTCAATATTGGGGTTATTCCATTTGCAGTGGTGGTGAACCATCTAGGCATTATCCTTGATGCAAAACTCATCTGCAACGCTCACTTGGAAAAGGTTTTGCATAAAGCCAGACTGTTCGAAAGGATTTGTGGAATATTTTCAGTGACTGTCAGAGAACATACAGATCAAGTAATTGGCGACCATAGAAATCCTTCTAGACCAACGTTTTCTGCACAGAAAGGCTAGATGAACAACTTACAAAATTGTGCGTAATGCCAATTACACAGGTTAATGCGGAGCGGAGCAGAATACTGGCTGACAATGAAAGTCATACCATTCTGGGAATGACCTTCAACTCAATGCTTCCAACTGTCAACTACAACCTTATATACCTTTATAGTGTCGTAATATCAAGCAGATAGGATTGGATTCTCTGAGAGCAGGAAATACAAAGAGCAAATAGCAATCAGTTCACGGATGGATCAAAATCGCCTTCAGCTTCTGGTGCAGCTGTATACAGTAGCACATCTAAGATGGAAATATCAACGTGCCTAGAGACCTGTGGGACCATATTTCTAAAGGAAGTCTACGCCATCGATTTGGGCGTGGACTTCACCAGTGCCTGAATTCTCAGCTCTAACCTGTCCTTATCAGGACTAAATAAAAGGAATTCGCTGACGAAGGCTTCCGCCGCAACGAGATACCCACTAGCGGGCCTCCTTTGACGTATTTGCCCTACCCATTTCCAAATATATCTGGGGGAACGCCGACCCAGCTCACTTACGCGGCAGCCTACGCGGGCTACACCATAGCACTAGTACCTTGGGACGCCCCTGTACCTCCGGAGGCATTGGAACAATGTCATGCCCGGCACGACACAGCCAAGAGCGTCCTCTGCCGGAAAGGATTCCAGCTCTCCGATCCTGATCGGCAAATAACGGTACGTGCGGTGACGGACCGGCCAAGTGAGCGCGTCGCTGGCCAGCGCTTGTCAGGATCAACTTATCCAAACGTGTCTGGAAAGTTTCTGTCTCTCTGTTTTGTTATTCCATCAGTTGACACCACAGTTACAGACGGTACCTCGTTTTGTTTCAGGCCGTTGAGAAGATGATGAAACCCTCCCAGATTTACCCTCTTTTGATTAATGGGATGGACCACATCCTCTTTTTTTTTATGACCATTTTCTTCTTCTCTTCATTCAATAAAGATCTCTTCTTCGTCAGAACTGCTAGTGATAGACAGGTTTCTGTCACCGCTCGAAAAAATTGTAGTTTTGAAATTCTATCTATTTTTAAACTACTCAAACAAGTGGAGTCCATTAGTCGAGAAATAGTTCCGAATATTTATCGATTTCAAAGTAAATATTTATAGAAACGTGTACAAACTCAAGTTGAGAAAAAACCAATGTGAGCATTACGATAGTTTAGTGTTACTCAACAGGAAGGTGTTTTTATTAGAATTGTTTAATAGCATGAATGTTAAGTGGCTTTAAATCATCCAATTGAAAATGACATTATTATAATCTGCAGCATTAGGGTGATGCAAGAATGAATCACGATATGATATATACACTTTATTATTATTCTTCAATGTGACATAAAAAACACAGTGAGGCAAAAATCGAAATATTTTTGTTGGAGGAAAATCTGTATACATAGAGACTCGAAAACTTATCTACAAATGAAAAACATTGGCATTAGGTCTACTATGAACAGTAACCATGGTCTTTTTTGGTGAGTTATCGCCTTTGGGAAGTGCCTGGGTGGCTCATTGGTGTCCAAACTCTGTCCTGAACGACTTTTGATC